AAAGAAACCATACAAGGGTCTTCAGCAGCTTCTTAACTGTGCTGCTGCACCACTGGTCAGAGGCGGGTGGCTGCTGCTGCTGCTGCTGCTGCTGCAGTAATAAAAAGTTGCGTCTTCGTCAAAATTAAAATTAAATAATTAAAGAGAAAAGAATAAATGAGAACAGAAGCAGAAGAACAACTCAGATTAAGGAGTTTCGCCTTCTGCTGCTGCTGCTGCTGCGGTCATGTGCTGCTGCTGCTGCAGCACGGCGCAGCAGCTGCTGCTACAAAGAGGCAGGTGCTGCACCCGCTTGTCTACAGATTGTAAAAAAGTAAAATATAAGAAGATAATATATTATCGATTCTGAAAATATAAGAAAAACAGACAAACAGACGCCAGCAAGCAGCTCTTTTGCAGCTGCGCAGCTGGTGTTGCTGCTGCTGCTGCTGCTCCGCGCAGCTCCAGTGGCTACTGGCTGCTGCTGCTGCTGCTGCAGCAGCAGCAGCAGCTGCTGCTGCTTCTGTTCTGGGGGCCTTACAGCATAATTAAGACTGAAATATGCATGTAGAAGGGCAACGAAGACACCCGGATCCCCCAAACAAATAATATTTAAATAAAAAGAAAGACATCAGCAGCATCAGCAGCACAAGCCCATACAAACAAGCCTAGGAAGAGGGTATTAAAACAAATTAAAAGAATAAATTAAGCAATAAGCACTTAAAAGAAGTAAAAGTATAGCTCTTCTCTGCCTAGCAGCAGCAAACACCCCCCTTAGACTTACCTGCACTTATTTTCGCGATATGTCTGTGCTAAGGTTAAGGGTTTATCTCTACACATTATCGAATATGCATTACTCAGTCATCAAACAAACTAAGCCAAGGGCCCTAAATAAAAGTCTTGTAGACAGAGACTTTGGCGGGGGAAGGGGGTGGTGGTGTGTGCTGCAGCAGAGCAGCAGAGCAGCAGAGCAGCAGAGCAGCAGAGCAGCAGAGCAGCAGAAGAAATATAAATAAAAAATGCGCTAAAATCAAACATCTTCTTTGACATCCCTGTTCACTGTGCTTAGGGCACAGCTTGGTCGCCTCTTTCTTCGCTACAGTTGCTGCATCAAGCGCTGCTGCAGCAACTGCAGCAAACGCTGCTGCCAGCAGCAGCTGAAGCAACAAGGATATATATATATATATATATATATATGGGGGTGCAGCAGCAGCTGCTCCCCCGTATAAATCCTTGCTGCTTCCTTCGTGTGTCTCCGCAGTTTATGAATGCACCGGCTGCTGTCTGTTCTACTTTCATCTCTTTTCGCGCAGTGTCTGGCGCTCGCCTCGTCAATATAAATGTTGTGTATTATATCTTAAGGCGGGCAGTAGAACAGACATTTGGCTTTTTATAATGTTTAAGTACTTCGTCATCATCTTAAAGAGTTTTACCCCTTACCCCTTTCTCTTTAATCGATACAGCCCAGCCGTCTACAGATTATTGTCTCCTTCAAGGAGACAGCCACAGTCTTGCTATAAGCTGCAGATATAAAATAATTTATTCTCTTGTTAGACTCCTGCAAACAAAGTGCTTTTACTTTACAGTGCAGCCCTTTATTGATAGCTTTGATATACCTGATATCAAAGCTATCAATAAAGGGCTACCCTTTGACATACTCTTATCTGTCTCTTCCCTGTCTCTTCTTAAGGTTAAGCCTACGTCTCAGTGCACCTGAGGAAGGCTTCATAGTTCGGGTGTATGAAGTAAATCTATATATCAGTTGCTGCTTTTCCTCTTTAAATAAAAGAGACGCCAGCAGCAGCCTTGAGTACGAGAAGGAGACAGAAGCACCACGAAGCAAATGCACAAAACTATTACTCTACTGTCTTCGCATTAATGGAGACAACTTTAATATTTAAAAGATAGTAAAATAGAAACTGTCTCTTTTTAATTTAATCTTCGGGGTAAATGAAATCTGAATAGAGGGGCTGCTGTCAGTGCTTTCGCTGTAATGAGACGAAGCCCCAGCCACTAGCCGCCGCTCTTGTGCTGTCTCTCTAGTAATAGAGAGGTTAGCAACTCTTTACTTTTAAATAAATTAATTCAGAGCAAACAAATGCTTCTCTTCTACCCCATCGCCTGCTATATACACCAGAGAGCCTAGATGATAGGGAGAAGGGGGGGAGGGGCAGCAGTCTTACGGCGCTAGCAACAGAAACAAGAGAGAGTGAGCTGAGTCAAAGACATTGCAAAGGGTCTCTGTTAATAACTAATAGATTCATCTCTTTGTCTTTAACTCTGCTGCGCAAAGAAACCCAAGAGCTTGAGGAAGAAGGGGTGAGGAGGCTGTCTGTCCTGAGATATATGAGTAATTGCTACAACGCCTGCAAGGCATCCCCGCATGCAAGCTTATCCAAGCCCCATTCTAATGCATGCACTGACACCGTAGACACCTGGCACACACATTACCTTACTCCTCAGTGAACAGCATGTGCTTAAGTAGAAGTAAGCCTAGTGGCTAAGATAGAACAAGCGGGTCTGCCTTTGAGAGAAGCTTTCATTAGTTGCAGCAGAAACAGCAGCAAGTGAAGCCCCGCTCTCTTTCCTTTGCTTTGCTCCTTCTCCTTTTCTTCTTATAGAGGGCTCTGACCCCCCTCTTTAACTTTTTTTTTCTCTCTATTTGGTTAACCCGTATGCAGCTGAGTGTTCAGGCACACGAGGAGATAATTTCTTTTGGGGGGGTGGTGGGGCTGCATGCACGCTGGCTGCAGCAGGTGTATGCAACTCTAATTCAGTGTAGGTTTTCTAATGAGGGCCAGCATTCTTTTCACAGTTGTCTCTGGAGCCTATGCATGCATTCAAACGGGGCTTAGATGTACTTAAGTGTGGGGTGTCTTTGCAGCAGAAGACACAGAAAGAAGCGCTGCAGCTGAAGACAAACAAATATCCTTCCCTTTTAACGATTTGTCTGCTTGCCGCTAAGCTCAGGACCCCAAGAAGATATAAAGACAGTCAAATGCTCTTTGAAGCCCCTTACTTCTTTTTATTTCGTGTATTGCTACGAACGAACAAGGGCTCCCGCAGCACTTGTGATGAATGATGTACTGTCTCCTTACTAAAGACTGTCTCCTTAATTAGCCGAAGGGAGTGGAGACTCTATCAAATTAAATTTCTTTGCATTCTTTACACGCAGCATTGTCTTTGCTGCTGCTGATGCTGCTGCTGCTGCTGATGCTGCTGCTGCTGCTGCTGCTGCTGTTTGTAGGCTTGCAGAGCTGCAATCGATATAAAATTCTTTGTCTTCAGCCTTCTAAGACACATGAGTTAAAGAGAGGTTCCTTTAACATGCTGCAGAGGCTGAGAGTATTGATGCAGAGACAGCACACTCCTCTCGTTAAGTAAATAAACAATAATATAGACAGCTATAGTTAGGTGTGTCTGTCTCCTTTTCTTTATATCTTCTGTGTAGGTAAAGCTCTTTTAAGGAGTCTGAGGTCAGCAGCACAGTTATATGAATTTAAAAACTCTTGGTGCAGCAGAGACAGCTGAGAGGAGACACTTAGAAAGGAGACAGTATTAAAGGAGACAGTTGTGCATTACCTTTATGCAGATGCTAGAGACAGTTTCTACTCCTATAGAAGCAGCTAATGATTAATAGACAAACATAAACAAATATAATTAAAAGGAGATATTAATACGGGCAATCATCAAAGAAAACTAAACCTCATCATACATTGCACGTCTTTGTATGTGCACGGGGTGTATATACACCCCAAGCGCTGTTTGTTAATCTGCTTCTGCTGCTCTTAGCAATTCATTTATTAATAAAGATTTGCATTAGTTTATTTTGTCTCATCTATGCAGCAGCAGCAGCAGCAGAAGGAAGAGACAGTCTGCTGCTGGCTGCAGCTGCAGCCCCATCGAGCTCCGCGCCCCACAGCAGCAGCAGCAGGGGCCCCTGCTGCTGTTAACTATTTATTTTTTTCTGCGTCTTCTATCTTTTAATTATTCTTATTAATAATTAATTTATATTATTTTTTACCGCTGCAGCTGCGCTCTTGCTACAACGCACAATGGCTGGAGAAGAAGCAGCAGCTGCTGGTTCTCCTCTAGAAGGAGGCGCAGCAGCAGCAGCAGCAGCAGCAGCAGCAGGGGCCCCTGCAGCAGAAGCAGCAGCAGCAGCTCCTGCAGCAGCAGCAACAACTGATGCTCCTGCAGCAGCAGCACCAACAGCAGCAGCAGCAGCAGAAGACAAAGGTGATGGATCTGGTGGGAGCAGCAAACGCCGCTGCGGAGTCTCAGGAGAATCTGCATGCGTTGGGGCTGCCTCTGTGTCTGCTGCAGCAGCAGGTGCTGCGCATGCAAAGAGGCGTAAGACAGGAGGAGGAGGAGAAGCAGCAGCAGCAGAGGGGGGCAAGGGTGCGAAGCAAAAGAGTAGAGAAGAGATGAGCACTGAAGAGCTGCTTGCTGTCTTGAAGAGACAGGTCGAGTATTATTTATCTAATGCTAATCTGTCGACAGACAGCTTCTTTCACGACAAAATACAAGAGGCAGAAAGACAGGGGAAGGGAGTAAGGCCGCACTAAACGCATTGCTGTCTCTGTTTCTTTGTGTCTCTCTCTCTCTCTCTGTCTCTGTCTCTCTGTCTCTGTCTCTGTCTGTCTGTCTGTCTGTCTGTCTGTCTGTCTGTCTCTGTCTGTCTCTCTCTCTCTGTCTCTCTCTCTCTGTCTCTGTCTCTGTCTCTCTGTCTCTCTCTGTCTGTCTCTCTCTGTCTCTCTCTCTCTCTCTGTCTCTGTCTCTGTCTCTGTCTCTCTTTCTCTGTCTGTCTGTCTGTCTGTCTGTCTGTCTGTCTGTCTGTCTGTCTGTCTGTCTCTCTCTGTCTCTGTCTCTGTCTCTGTCTCTGTCTCTCTCACAAGCTGCATGAATATATCGTCAGCACTTCAGTGTATTTGTGGGGTGGCATATATACCTTCGTTACTTGCTGCTGCTGCTGCAGCACAGCAGCTGCAGCAGCACACAGCAGCAACAGCACTGCAGCAGCAGCACAGCAGCAGCAACAGCACAGCAGCAGCACCACAGCAGCAGCAGCAGCACAGCAGCAGCAGCAGCACAGCAGCAGCACAGCAGCAGCAGATATATATTTGGCGTTGTGCATTCAGGTGTCTCTAAAAATGACGTATGTGCTGAGCAGCCCCCGAATGAAGGCGCTGCATGCAACAGAAGAAGAAGTAATTGCTGCTTTAGCAGACAGCAGCGAATTAAAAATACATAAAGATGAAGACAGCACTACATGGGTGCAGAGACGTGAAGCTCTACCCCCCCTCAGAAGAAGAGAGAAAAAAAGCAATAAAAATATCGATGATAATAGCATCGGCAGGGACCCACATGCTGTTGGGTATGCTGCTGCTGCTGCTGCTGCCGTTGCTGCTGTTGCTGCTGCTGCTACTGATACTGTTGCTGCTGCTGCTGCTGCTGATACTGTTGCTGCAGCTACTGCTACTACTATTACTGGTGTTGGTAGTATTGCTGCTGCTGCTGATACTGTTGCTGCGGCTGCTGTTGCTGCTGCTATTGCTGCCGGTAATATTGCTGCCGCTGCTGCTGCTGCTGTTTGCTGTTGATGTGTGAGCTGCATGCGTTTGCTGCTACTTTTATTTTTTATTTAATTTATTTGTTTGGGGTGTACAGATGCTTCCTGCGGTTGACGCACTCAGCAGCAGCAGCAGCAGCAGCAGCAAAATGGCAATCAATTAAAGACGCCCTTAGAGAGACACTTCCTCAGAAGGTTTGTCTTCAGATTATATTTTTATTATTTATATTTATATTTATTTATTTATTTATTTGTTTATCTATTTATTTATTTTATTTGCTTTCTTATTTATTTACATTCATTTGTGTATATTTATTTTTATTTACCTGTCTATATATATATATATATGTATATATATATATATGTTTGTATATTTATTTACGTATGTATTTGTTTGTATTTATTCTTATTTATTTATTTATATCTAATTAACTATTTATATATTTATTTATATATTTATTTATATATTTATTTATATATTTATTTATTTATTTGTTGTGGGTTGCAGGTGCTAGTTCGTTACGTCTCGCGTATGAATTCGCAGCAGCAGTGCACTGTTTGGCTGAGCAGCTTCAAAGGCGATAGAGAGTTTTTTAAGGACTCTTTGAAGCTGCAAGTGGAGGGTCAAGAGGCTACGCTTACGCTCATGTCCCCGGGAGAGGTTCGAGCTGCATGCAACTCCGATGTGAGTCTCCGCTACTAGCCAGCCAGCTAGCTAGCTAGCTAGCTACTTACTACTCAGCTATGTAGACAGTCAGCTAGCTAGCTGCTGCTGAGTCAGCTAGCCAGCTAGCTAGCTACAACTGAGCTGGTTACTGACCTAGCTAGCTAGCTAGCTACTACTCAACTAGCTAGGTATATTACTGAGATAGCTAGCTAGATAGCTAGCTAGCTGTCTAGTCGTTCCGCTGGGTACGTGGAGCGTTAAATCACTGATTAGCGCACCGCGTTTGAGGGTTTATTATTGGGGTTTATGATTAGGGTTTATGATTAGGGTTTATAATTAGGGTTTATTAATAGGGTTTGCAAACCCTAATCACAAGATTAGGGTGTGTTAGGGTTTCTGATTAGGGTTTATTAGTGTTTATGATTAGGGTTTATAGTTAGTGTTTATGATTAGGGTTTATTATTAGGGTTTACGATTAGGGTTTACGATTAGGGTTTACGATTAGGGTTTACGATTAGGGTTTATGATTAGGGTTTATGATTAGGGTTTATGATTAGGGTTTAAGATTAGGGTTTACGATTAGGGTTTACGATTAGGGTTAGTTTGATGTTTGTGTGTATGTTGCAGCTTCCTCCTCGTGTACGTACATGCAGAGAGAAAGAGCTGCAGCAGTTTCGTCGTCAGATTGCGGGGCTGCCGCTGAGTTTAGGGGGGGCTTCATTTAATAGTGTTGATCATTTAAACAAGTGCATGCACGATTTATTAGATAAGACAGAGGCCGGTAAGACTCTAAAGAAAGACTCTGTTGCAGAAAAGGCTGTCTTGGCTCTGTTAGACTTTCATCCAAATGCATTTATAAAGAAAGGAGGACACGATAGACACCCTATCGGTATTAAAGTAGATCTGCATGCAAAAACTAACAAAGACGGGAGCCCCTCAAAATGCTTCTTTGTTATCAGACAGCACAAAGAAAGTAAAGAAGAAGATGCAGAGGTAAACAAACACAATTTACTGCTGCTTCTCTTTTATTTAGGTGGTTGGTGTATATACATATATATATATATATATATTTATATACATTTATATATATATATATTATATATGTATGTATGTGAATACATGTTTACATATATATATTTTATATTAAATGCATATACTTACATATATATATTGCTCTGGAGAAGCTTTCTTTGGTGATGCATATGCCCGACATATATATATTTATATATAATACTAATATTATATTATATTACATTATATTATATAATATTATATTATATTATATATGCATATATTGTGTGTTAATCTCTCAGGATTTTTCTGTGTCGAAGTGTCTGTCGGAGCTGTCGCGAAATCCCCCCGTGCTTGCAGAGGCATTGGACAACTTTATGCAGCAGCGCTACGAGCTTGCTGCTGCTGCATTTGATGCAGCGCAGCAGCAGATGCAGAAGAAGAAAGCAGCAGCAGCAGCAGCAGCAGCAGCAGCAGCAGGCACAGGCGATGCCGCCGCCAAGCAGTCTACACCTACACCTGCAGCAGAAGCAGGAAATGAGGAGGGCAGCAGCACAGCAGCAGTTAAAGAAGAAGACAAAGCAAACAAAAGCCCTAGCCTTGCAACAGAAATAACTAAAGACGGGACGCCTCAAAGTGCAAACAAAACAAGTGAAGATACTCCTGCTGCTGCTAGCAGCACCAGCACCGCCGGCCAGTCAGATGCATAGGGCTCTCTGCTTCTGTTTAAACGCAAAAAGCCCCAAAAAGAAATATGCATGCATGCATGCATGCAGCTCCAGCTCCAGTAATGAAGTCCTCAGCGCACGAAAGGCATCTCCGTATGGCGCCGCTGCAGCAGCCGTTGCTGCAGCAGGTGCTGCTGCTGAAGCAGGGGCTGCTGCTGCAGCAGGTGCAGGGGGAAGGAGAGGAGGAGGGACGGCTGAAGGGAACTGCTGCTGCGGCTTATTTTAGCAGCAGGCTGCTGCTGCTGCTGTGCATATATGGAGAGCATACATAAGCGTGAGCATCTGGGGTGTATGTACAGGCTGCATGCATGCAGGATGCACTCTGCATGCATGCCGCTTGCGTCTGCTGCTTGAGAAGCAGCAGCATCGCTTCAGGACGAACGCCTGGGGGGAGGGGGACCGTTACCTGTTAGCCAGCGGGTAGTGGCTATGAAGTGCTGCAGCTGCATGCAAACAGGTGAAGCAAATGCAGCAGCAAGCAGCAGCAGAATTAAAACAAACTACAGACCTGCCAGTCGTGCTGAGGTGTATTTCTTTGCTTCTTCGTACTCTCAACTCTTTCGCGTTCATCTATTAATTAAAACAAATTCAGATGCATGCTCCTCTGTGCGCTGGCAAGCAGAGGACAAGGAAAGCAGACTAGTTTCTTCGAGAGTACAACGTGGTGTATACGCAGCTTTCACTTTCGTTACGAGGTGTATAGACAGCTAGCTGGATAGAGATGCTGTGCTTCAGCTCACGTCTGCAATGCCGCACTGCCACTTTAGAAACAGCCACACGCCAGCAAAGACAGACAGGATTGTTGCTGCTGGTAGCAAGAATAGTGTAGCGAGCTCCTTAGCTGTAAACAACTCTCTTGCAGTGGGGGGCCCCCGGGGGCCCCCTAATGCCTGCGGCCCCAACTCCTCTTCGTCGTCTTCCCCTGCTTCCCAGGGCTTCTGCTTGCGGTGTCTAGACAGCTCAGCAGCAATGACAGACGCAGCCTGACGCTCGCGGTTTGGAGATGCAGATGTTGCAGCAGGAGATGCTGCGGCAGCTGCAGCAGCGGGGGAGTTTGCTGCTGCTCTTACTGCAGTAGTATGAGACGGGGAGCATCGTGCTGCTGCGGCGCTCGCTGGCCCTGCTGCAGCTGGCGGAGAAACAGCACGCAACGCCCGCATGCGAGATTTGAATGAAATTGTCGCTGCTGCCGCTCCCAGTAGGCCGCCACCAATGAAGAGAGCAGGAAGTGTATATACACCTAAAGTGTCTGTTGCCGCTGTTGTTGCACGGCGAATGCGCCCCTCCAGACCCAATAGAAAACCTGCAACGATGCCGAGCCTCTTCTCCGGGTCTTTAGGCTCCTCCTGGTGTGATGCGCACTTCTCCGGTTCACATAACTCATTCAAATTTAGCTGTGATGAAGTTGGAAGTCTCTGGAGAGGCTGAGGTGTGCCGCTGCTTGAAGCAGAAACCGTCGGCTCCATCGCAAAGAAAGCAGGGAAACCCAGAGAAATAGACTCATAAGAGTGCTCTCCAGACGAAACAATTCAAAATGCAGAGTTAAAATACAGAAACACGAAATGTAAGGGAAAGAAACGCAAAAACATAAGATGCAAAAAGATAAAATGCAGAAAAATGAAGTGACGACACATGCCGGGCCGAGATATGTAACGCGGCGTATTCAAATACACCTGAATGCGGCTACATCCTAATCTATGGAGGTCTTCTGCATAAATATAGAAAATAACAGTTAAAAACCAATTATTTAATGAAACTAATCGCACATTTACTCACAGCTTTCCCCCTGCATGCAAGTCGAGAGGCGGGTGTTCAAACAAACAGCCGATCGTTCCATTGGAGCCTAACAGGATTCGTGTAGCGAAATTGAATTAAAATGGTTAAGAATGAGTGAAAAGGAGAATTAAAAACAAATTAAACATCAAAAATAATCATAAGAAAGTTCATGCTATCCCTCAACAATCTTCTTCCCTCCTTATTCTTCTTGGGTTTCTACTTCGTGCTAAGATCTGCAACGAGCAGATCGAAGGAAACTTAACACCGATACGCGTCAACACTATTTTGCCTTGTCTTTATTTCTATTTTGTGAATAATAATCTATTTAAATTTATATTTTTTGAATTTATTCCCTTAGACTCAGCGAACAATCCCCTGCAACACAGGACACCCGCTGAGACACGGCGGCGGTGAAAGCAGCAAAAAATTGAAATAAGGCGTTTGCTAAGTGTTTTTAAACATTTAAACAAACCATGAGGATATATGTCTTGCATTTAAACAAAGAGATGAAGATATACTCCTGTATTTAAGTATGAAGATGAAGATATACCCTCCTGCTGCACCAACGAAATGCAAGAAAAAATATTTCCTTTACTCGGTATGCTTGAGAGGAGGGTTTAGGGTTTATATGCGTGTACACCTACGCAAAAACCCTAAACCCTCCTCTTAAACCTTTTATAGCAATGATTAATTGCTGGTTTTTGTATGTCTTCTCGTTCTTCATGTTCTCATTATATTATCTAAATATTATCAATGCATTTCTTTTATATGTTCATCACCGCGGCAAAAGATGAAAAGGTTCAGGGGGAATGAAGAACACTAAAAATAAAGCTCAGAGAGAGCCTTGTTATCCTGATGTTTTAGGGGTATTTCGTGTTTGTATTTCTATACACACAGGGCTCTGCATGCATGCATGCATGCATACATGCATGCAGTGAGCGACAGATACGAGAGCTTCATTGAAGCAGCAGAAGATTCCTCTCTGCTGCATGCCACTCTACTCAATGTACTGGAGGCTGTCTGCAGTGTGGGGCCCCACACAGCAACAGCAGCAGCAAGAGCAGCAGTTTTTTTCGTATCACTTGGCTGTTTGTGAGAGTTTGCTTTAGCTTGGAGGTAGGGGGGGCGGGGCATCCTTTTCTCCTGGTGCGAGTGTTGCAACGGCAACAAATGAAGGGTTTAGCAGTGAGGGTTTATTATATTGCAAGGGCCCCAGGGGCCCCCCTCTTGCTGCATCTTCCCAGCGGTATATCTCTCCTCCTGCTGCTCTTAATATTGCATGCGCTGCACATGTATCCCACTCGCTGCAGGGAGCAAAGCGTGGATAGACGTGAGCTTCTCCTCGTGCAAGCCTCAGAAACTTGAGTGCCGAGCTGCGCATACACCCCAAACGCATATGCACACATACACCTATGCATCCATCTGCAGCACTATATAAGCCCCAGAGTATATCGCGTGCAAACAGCAGACGAAAAAGCCCCAAAAGTACACCCGATAAACCCCTGCTATATACTCCGTACCCTGCATGCATGCATGCAACTATGATGGTGTGTATGCTATAGTTTTGTATTTATATTGTTATATTGTCTTGTATTGTACATCATAGAAGAAAGATATGCTTATATAGACAATTAATATGTTTAATCTTCTCAGTCTCTCTCTCTGTGTGTGTGTGTGTTAGAGTTATATTACTGTTGTGTTTATAAATTAACATTAAAAGAAGCAGCAGCAGCAATGAAAGAGTAAATAGATATAGATAGGCATATAGATAGATAGATAATAGACGAGAACAGTACTTAGAAGAGTTAATAGTATAATTTATACCCGATCTGCACCATTTGAGGGCTGTTGAGTCTGGATAGAAAGGCACATGTCTGAGGTGAGTTATGAGAAGAAGAAGCCGTAGCTTTTAATGCATTATCATCCCAACGAAAAGAAAGACATTGTAAAGGAGACAGAATATCTTTACTGTCTTTCTTAATAAGCCAAGACCCTTTTATTATCTCCCCTCCTATATATATATCTCCGCTTAAGGGGGCCCCTATTACACCTAATATAGGGGCCCCCCTAAAGCAAAGCCCTATATTAACAGAGAACTGCCCGTTTCTTTTTATAAATTCTTTTGTACCGTCCAAAGGATCGATCAACCACACAAAATCTGCTGCTGTTCTCTCTGCAGCAGATGCATGTGCACTCTCCTCCGATACTAATAAACTATGAGGACATAGAGAACCCAGACCCTCCATCAGCACCTACAAACAACAAACAAACAAACAAACAAACAAACAAACAAACAATGCTTATATATACATATATATATATAGATGTATATGTATATGTATAAATATATATGTATATGTATATGTATATGTATATGTATATGTATATATACATATGTATATGTATATATATATATATATGTATATATATATATATATATACACATATATATAGATGTATATGTATAAATATATATGTATATATATATGTATATGTATATATATATATATATAGGTGGATGGGGGGGAGGTTTGCTGCAGCAGATGTTGATGCAAACAAATCGAATAAAGAAGAGGGATTATATGAGACTGTAAATTCCTGCCATGCTGCTGCTGCTGCAGTAGCTGCTGCTGTTGCTGCAGCTGCAGCTGCAGCAGCAGCAGCACCGCCTAGGAGTATATATACCTTAGGGTTTAGGGTTTAGGGTTTAGGGTTTAGGGTTTGTAACAACATACTTGATTAGAGAGTAGATCAGCCTTTGTGAGAG